GAGACTGGTATATTAATACTGGTTGATCTAGAATGTTCACAAAAAATGGAGGGGACTGGAAGGTACACTTTGGTATATATTTGCCATTGTTTGGCAGGATTCGGGCAATCCTTCACACCTTTTAATTCTATACAGCCTCCTTGTTTTAATCGTTTCCAACAAGAACCACTTTTCATGATGAATTACACAAAAAGGAAAATCTTTAAAACAGAAGGAAATGAATATTCAATGCAAATAATTAATATATTTAAGTAAAGAACTACCTTTTATCAAACATGTAAATTAGAAACATGTATGTGCTTAAACTAAGATTATCCGAAAATGGAACCAGAGGCTTTAAAAATTTCCATATAAATATTCTATATTGAGTTACTGGATATCCATTTTTTCCCTATATCAATCGCTGATCTCTGTAATATATGCATAAATCTTTCCTTCATATTAATATCCCAGCACTGCTCTGCTGTCCAATTGTGACAAGTGAGTCTGTGACTCAAAGTTGACAATAGAAAAAAACCTGGTATAATGACTTAATCAACACCATGTTATGTAAATCAGGTTTAGGCATCAATTTCCTTTTCCAGACCATAAAGATAAACTACCAATTATATTTATCATAAAGTGCTATTAGCAATGATTATATGTCTTCTTTTGTAGGAACATATTCCACGTAGAAAAAGCTATAATCAGAGAGTAAACAACCCATATTTAACACTAGCCACCAGGAAAAGATAAGATTCATGAAACTATTGATGAATATTACTAGCTGTGAATAGTATTTCATCAGTATTTTCTCTGCATCTTCCTATTCAAAGAATATCTGAGGCCTAAAATCGCCTAGAGTTTAAACACATTTCCCCCTTTCACCATTGTTCCCAGATGTTCTTCCTGTAAATATTACAAAAAAACATTCTGTTTGTGCCTGTCCGAAGTGATGTCTGTACTTCAGTGGTTGTTGTTTGTTGCTGTATGTCATATTTGATTTTTGTTGATTGTTTTGTACGTAAATCAGGATGTTTGTTTTCTCGTTTTAAATGTTTTTACATTTGTCATTTTAAGGCCTTTTATAGCTTACTATGCGGAATTGGTTTTGCTCATTATTGAAGGCCATACAGTGACTATAGTTGTTAACTTCTTTGTCATTTGGTCTCTGGTGGAGAGTTGTCTCATTGACAATCATACCACATCTTCTTTTTTTTTTATATTTATAAGTAATAAATGAACAGAGTTCCAACTTCATTGTCCCCCACTTTGCACATATTTTATCTATCCAAGGTACATTAAGGGCAATAACTGAAAAAAAAAAAATTGTTTTGTTCTTTAAAACTATTTATAAATATCTTATAGAGAAATGAAGGCTTCAGAGCAAATGCAATGTGATTTCCATTATCATCAATATTTCCAAGTGGCATAACTCTTTAAAAAATATTTGATCATCACTTATTTTCGAAAGTGTCAAAGACATTGCTGATATAAACCTATGATATAAGTTTCATAAAAATCTGCCAAGAATTGTACACATGAAAGCGCTAACGATGCAATTTTCCATATAATAAATTATTCCAAGGGGCATAACTCTTTTAAAAATAATTGATCAGCACTGATTTTCGAACTCGTCCAAGACATTGCTGATATAAACTTATGATATAAGTTCCATAAAAATCTGGCAAGAATTGTACATGTGAGAGCTAACAAGACCAGATGGACGGACGCCCGGTATTTCTATGTCCCCCGCAACACATTGTGCGAGGGACAAATAAAGATTGCCCATGATAAATAAATAATCTTAAGCCCATTAATTTGTTAAGTATTGGTATCATTTGAATGTTGATTAACAAGAAGTTGCACATGTTGTCGTGCTAAGCATACCCTCACTTGTAATTCAAATTACAGTATAACAAGAAGAAGTTGCTGACAGATCCTCAAAGTGCTCGCATATTACATGTCATCCCCGTTAAGCTGCTGACCAAATATGAAGTTCTTCGGTTCAGTAGTATCTGAGTATGAACAAAATATTTGTTGGATGAACAGATGGACAAGGTGATTGCAATATAGACCCCACACCTAGAGTGGAGGCAATATAGACCCCACACCTAGAGTGAAGGCAATATAGACCCCACACCTAGAGTGAAGGCAATATAGACCCCACACCTAGAGTGAAGGCAATAAAGACCCCACACCTAGAGTGAAGGCAATATAGACCCCACACCTAGAGTGAAGGCAATATAGACCCCACACCTAGAGTGAAGGCAGTATAGACCCCACACCTAGAGTGGAGGCATAATTACTTTTGTACATTTATTGTATAACAGCAAAATGGAAAAGGTATCATAAAATATTGAAAAACAATAAGCAATAGGTTCTATGGCAAATCTCCAACTAAAAAAAATCTTCAGCTGGAGATTTCACACTTTGAGGTTTGAAAAGTTGACAGCTATTGATAATTCACAATCTGTCAATATTTTGTATTAAAAATGACAACATGAAAGATGTTTAATACTAGTAGATGAAAATTGATCAGTTAACTGATGCAAACATAACATATGCATGTACCTGCTAAATCTAGATTGAAATTGAATTAAAATGGAAAGAAGACAAAAATAGAGAGAATCAAAATGAGAGAAACATCTCAAACTATGGTTATTTTCGTTTCTTGTAAAGACCACCAAACTCAAGGTCATGGTGACCTTAATAAGCTACATAGCCTTTGCTGAAACATAAGACTCTTACAGAAGACATGTCAAGGGATTATTGGTAACCTATCATCCAGTAATTGAAATTAAACATAAGCAATGAAGCATATTATAGATTCATAATTATCAGAGTGACCTAGTTTTGTTGAGAAGTTATACGTCAGGGAATGAAGATAAACATCTCTTCAAAATGCATGAACATTGTTGTGTATAGCACCTAAGCACAGTATGTATCAAAATAAAATTCCTAAAATAATCTTTCTCTTGTGGACAGGAATTGACAAACTATCTTCTTCCTTTGAAAACATTAGTACGGAAAAGAAATATTATTATCAAAACATGATCAGACCCAGCTTCATATCAGTAACTGGTTCCATACCATGATATTTCATACACAATTTTGGGCACCAGTACAATGGAATATATATATATGTTTCAAATGCACATCTCTCTTAGAACACAGATTATAAGTATAGGTTGAAAATTTCTTCCTTAAACCACAATTTATTGATAGTTTTAGTTAAAATATGGACTTAAGACATTGAGCTGTCAGAAAGTAGCACTTTTACCAAGGTGAGCTGTACAAGACAAGCAACTGAGATGTCAGGAAATGTTCCATATATGAAAACAAATACATGTATCTACTTTTGAGGTGTTTTTATGAGATGAGGGAAATAACATGCTATTTTTGTTTGGACGAACCAAATTTAGTCAATTTTCTGAATTATAGCTATTTTAACCGCAATGGCCTTCCATGGACTGCTACAGCAATGGCTGGTTTCTTTCAATAAAAGCACTCACCAGAACCCAATCTATCTGAACTTTCCCACTTCCCAAAAACTTGAGGATCAATGAAAAGTTTAGAAATCAGGGAGAAAATATATAATGGGGTAGCTAATTTGAAGGCATGATCCCCCATCAAAACTCAATAAGCCCTGCCAAGTGATTACTCATTTTGACATTGATCATTAGGGTCTAGTGAGTGGGTATAACTCATTTGTATATATATTTCAAACTCTTTTTTTCCAAGACAAGTAAAAATAAAATGCTTCGCTGAGTGCAGCCTGATACGACCGCAGAGGTCGAACCCTGAACAGTTGGGGCAAATTTGGACACAATATTCAAGCTTGATACTGTCTGAATTTGGATTGTGATCAAATTTTTGACATAATATAAGTTTCTGATACAAAATAAATGTGGTCAAAGATCTTATAAATCCATTGCGCAATACTGTGCAATTGAAGATTTCTTCTTGAAACTTTTCAAAAATTCGAAATTTAAAAATTTTGAAAAAAAAATATGAATCCCTTAAAAAAATTGGGAAAAAAATCCCCCCCCCACCCAACTTTTTGAAACCCCCCTTGGAGCAATAACCTCAAAACTCAATCCCAGCCTTTACTTTGTAGTATGGAACCTTGCAGTACAATTTCAGAGATATCCATACACTTACACACAAGTTATTGTCTAGAAACTAGAAAAAATACTTGTTTTTGGCCCTTTTTTGGCCCCTTATTCCTACATGTTTAGGGCAATTAACCCCAAACTCAATCCCAGCCTTCCCTTTGTTATATGGAACCTTGTAGTAGAATGTCAGAGAGATCCATATTATTACACACAAGTTATTGTCTGGAAACTAGAAAAATGCTTGTTTTTGGCCCCTTTTTGGCCCTTAATTCCTAAACTGTTGACCCCATAACCCCTAAAATGAATCCCAACCTTCTACTTGTGGTATTAAACATTGTGGTACAATTTCAGAGCAATCGAAATATTATACACAAGTTATTATCCTGAAACTAGAAAAATGCTTGTTTTGGGCCCCTTGTTGGGCCCCTAATTCCTAAACGGTTGAGACCATCATCCCCAAAATCAATCCCAACCTTCCTTTTGTGGTATTGAATCTTCTTAAAAAATTTCATAGAGATCCATTCACTTAAACTAAAGTTATTGTCCAGAAACCAATGTGTCTTCGGACAACGACGCAGACGCAGACGACGACAAAGACGACATCATACCATTATACGATCCCAAAAAAATTTTTGCGGTCGTATAAAAAACAATCAGAAGTTGAAGGCCATACAGTGACCTATAGTTGTTATCTTTTATGTCATTTGGTTTCTGGTGGAGAGTTGTTTCATTGGCAATCGTACCACATTTTCTTATTCTTATAATCAGAATAGTTCTTTTCGGAAAGACAGATCAAAGTATTGTTAGTGAAATGAACCCAAGTAAAAAAAAGAGGATTTATAGCACTTGACTTTATAAGCTCAATGTATTACAACATTTAAGATGACAGTATATATATCTTACCTTTTCATGTGGCCTGGAGAGGACAACTGACAGACAACACAACACTACAAAAGTCACTACGATATATCTTGCTGCAGACATGATAACAGTATCATCTGAAATACAGACAAAGCAATTTACATAATATACTGAATAACAATTCCCTCTTGTACACTATGGTATCATTCAATTCACAATCTGTCAATAATCTATATGTCTTTGACAGAGTTCTCAAAAAGTGGTGGTTTGAATATTTTGAATACCAAAATTTTGCAAAAAAAATAATAGTGAGGACCAACATAGGACCACCAGGGAAAGTTTTGAATATTAATTTTTAAATTGTACCTTCAAATTACAATTAGAGTTTGACATAGAAGCCCTAACACACATGTCTGCAGCAATTCAGCATAAAAAAATCTACAATTTTGTGTTTGATTGCAAGTTAAAACCTTAAAATTGCTTTAAATCATAAGATCTTTTTTGTAAAATACAAGCCTAGTTCTTCTTTGTACCTTTTGATTTGAAAGATTTAGTCCAACTTGTTTCATGGCCAACGCAATTATAAATATTTTGCTTTAGTAAGGGACAAATCATACTTGGTAAAAAGTCATTCAGATTCAAATAAAAAGTTTTTTGAAATGAAAATAACACTTAATAAGTTTTGTGCATCTAAAGCACTTTTTTGCCTTCATCAGAAATGGTCAAACCTAAACTTTGAAAACCAGGGATGTAACAATATGTAGAAAGAGATAACATAGAAGACACTGACATCATCAAGATATCTAATTTGGAGGATGCATTTTTCTTTTTAAAAAATTGCATTCCTATAGGAACCAACTGTGCTCCTCTTTTTACCACCTTATTCCTACAATCTGATGAGGTAGATTTCATACAAGAGCTTTTCCACAAAAATTTAAAAGAAATTGGCATGATTAAGTTTAAACATAGCATTCAACTATATAGAGGATTTCCTTTAAATGAATAATTCAAACATTGGTGACTATGCTTATCAAAGCTATCCCAAAAGGCTTGAAATAAAGGATACCACAGATACAGTTAAGTTTGCTTCATATCATGACTAACATCTAGAAATTGATAATGAGGGTCAGTTGAGAACTAAAACTTTTGACAAAAGGAATCATTTCAATTTTCCTATTGGGAACTTTCCATTTCTGTGTAGAACATTCAAGTAGCATCTACATATGGAGTTTATATATATATAAATCGAAGTTTATACAATATTCAAGGGCCTGTGTTTCCTATCATAATTTCAGTGATAGAGGGTTGCTGCTAACAAGGAAGCTATTGAACCAAAGGTTACAAATAACAAAGTTGAAGTCATCACTATGAATATTTTGTCGATGTCATCATGATTGAGTTGACTGGTATTGAATGTTTGTGATATCATATGTGCCACTTGTTTTATATATATATACAAAATTCTGTCCTCTTTTCCTTGATTGTGACATCCCAGAATGTGACTCATCATGAATGCAACTTTTCTTCTAACTTTAACTTGCAATGAGTAACAAGACAGGTTCCACTAGTGGAGCAGAAACTGCTTACCCTTTCAGAGCACCTGAGTAACAAGACACATTCCACTAGAGGAGCAGAAACTGCTTACCTCTTCAGAGCACCTTAGTAACAAGACAAGTTCCACTAGTGGAGCAGAAACTGCTTACCCCTTCAGAGCACCTGAGTAACAAGACAGGTTCCACTAGTGGAGCAAACTGCTTACCCCTTCAGAGCACCTGAGTAACAAGACAGGTTCCACTAGTGGAGCAGAAACTGCTTACCCCTTCAGAGCACCTGAGTAACAAGACAGGTTCCACTAGTGGAGCAGAAACTGCTTACCCCTTCACAGCACCTGAGTAACAAGACATATTCCACTAGTGATGCAGAAACGGCCTACCCCTTCAGAGCACCTTAGTAACAAGACAGGTTCCACTAGTGGAGCAGAAACTGCTTACCCCTTCACAGCACCTGAGTAACAAGACGGGTTCCACTAGTGGAGCAGAAACTGCTTACCCCTTCACAGCACCTGAGTAACAAGACACATTCCACTAGTGATGCAGAAACGGCTTACCCCTTCAGAGCACCTGAGTAACAAGACAGGTTCCACTAGTGGAGCAGAAACTGCTTACCCCTTCAGAGCACCTGAGTAACAAGACAGGTTCCACTAGTGGAGCAGAAACTGCTTATCCCTTCACAGCACCTGAGTAACAAGACACATTCCACTAGTGATGCAGAAACGGCTTACCCCTTCAGAGCACCTTAGTAACAAGACAGTTTTCACTAGTGGAGCAGAAACTGCTTACCCCGTTTATCCCAATGTTTTGATGGGGTTCTTGTTGCTCAATCTTTTGTAGAGTGTGAGGACTGTTATTTGTGTTGTCTGTTTTTATTCAACTTATTGGTTTTGATTGACAGTTGGTATATATTCTTTTTTTGTTATTCCACTGATTAAGATTAAAAGTGTGCAGAGAAATCAAAAACCAGGTTAACAACAGCACATCTTCATGTGCCTTTCCCAAGTCAGAAATATCATCAGTCACATGTCAGTTTTGTCTTTAGTTTTTTTTTATCTTATTGTTTAAAGTCCTTAGGGGATTTGTTTTTATAATGAATTCAGCAGAAAGGACAGTTGTCCACTTTTGACCACTTACATTGCAGGTTACTTGTGAACATTTCTTTAAAATGAATACTAAAATGCATCCTAATTCAATTCTAAAGTTATTTTTCTTAAGTTCCCATTCAAATTATCAGTCCATTTGAATCCCATTTAACCCTATTTATCTTTGAAATCTGTAAAAATCTGCAAGAGTTCTAGAAAATGCATCTAAATCTCAGATCATTAGGTTTAGCGAATTGAATATCTAAATGGATTATCAATTAACTTAAACTATGCAAAGGGTGTCATCCTGGTTTGCCCACTTTTAATTACATGCATATGTAAACATAGGGGGGATTGTTGTTTTAACAATTATAGTTTATTTCTGAATTATAGTCATATTTTTTGCCTATTATTTTACATGTAAAATTTTATGAAAGATATTATATTCTGCTATTAAAGCAAGGAAAATGTGCAAAATATTTTATATTTGATATAATTTTTAGCAGGAAAATATATTGAATTTGACCAAAAAAAATATCTAAATATGTGTACAAAAATGTGAATTAAATTTTAGCATTTGTCAACAAATAGTTTTAATTATTGGTACATTCTGAAATTTTTTTAAAGTAAAATAATGAAACTAAGAAAAGATTAGAATAAATGTCATTTGAATTTCTTTTTATTTATTCAACTTATTCTTTTTTTAAATTTTGATAAATACACTGTTCTGAAATTTAATATAAAAAATATCCTATCAATTCTAACAAATAGAATATAAAATGCAACTGTTCAGTAGCCAAGCTTTGTATATGACACCATTTGAACAGTATTAACTCTTATAATTTCCACCCCACCTAGTTGAGGATGTTTGGCTAACAACTTTAGAATACATAGTTGAAGCTGACAACACACCCGTAACAACATCATTTACTGATTACGTGACAGAGTTCTGGGTTGAAGAATACCACTTTCTATGGAACCACTACTACACAGAAGGACCACGCATCACCTGGAAGGATAGCACAACAAAATCAAGAAGAGACTCCAACATGCCCACCCTTACATCTATGAGATCATTGAGTTACTGAAGAAGACCCATGCACTAACAGAATGTAATATTATCCAGTATGCAGCAGGAGGAGCCCGCCCACCAAAAAGACGAAGATACAGAGTGATAGACTCCAACTACTGAAAGACAGATACCAACAAGGACTCATCAACTACTCTGACGCAACATCCCACCTTCTCAATTTAAACTGAACAACTTAGTGAAATATTGTAATTTGTGACTTTGTAAATTTAATGTTTTGTGACTTTTGATACATATATATAAAATATTGTATTTCCGATCATTATACATATAGTGCCCCATACTACTTATTTTGACATGTGCTTTATTATTACCTTAATATGCAATGCATTTATAAACTTGATTCATATATATTATATATATTGGTGTATTTATATCATGAAAATCATTCAGAAACTAATGAATTATTAAGACACTTTTATTACTGAATGTCATTGTTTTGTCAATAGTTGTACATGTAAGTTAAATGAATCCATTGAATTGATATTAAATTATTGAGAAAAAAATGTTTAATTTAATTGTTATTTTTCTATACGAATGAAAATGGAAGTACAAAATAAATCAAAGTACTGAAGTACTGAACATCGGATGACCACAAGTTCTTGAGGATGGTCAAAAGCACTTGTCTCAGAAAAAAAACAACATATCTCTTTACCTGAAACTGAGGTTAATGTACAGAGATATATTTTTTTCTGAGACAAGTTCGTGCGTGGATGATGAATAAATGACAGGAAATTCATCTTCACCGTAATAACTACATGTATTATATTGTAGTGATATGTCACCAGGCTTATTTGGACTTAATTCTAATTTTATCATTTATTTAGAAATTGGACTTTTAGAAAACTTATTATTTTACAAATTCAAATATTTACATGTATAGACAAATAATGTGTTAATCTTAATTAGTGACATATGATTTTCAAATGTTTGTGACAGATTTATTTATTGAGTAACAGAAATTAATATGAAAGACATTAATTCATACTAAAGGTGTGAAAATTATTGAAAGAATGAGATTATATATGAGTATTATAAATTATAATTATCTTTTATATTAATTAATGTGAATGCTGTCACTTATAGCTTAAAGTTATGAAATGTCATTTTAATTTGAGTATTGTCATGTTAATTGAGTATTGTCTATTTTCGATATTCAGTATAAATATTTGTTGTAAACTAAAGTACGATCAGAAGTAAGAGAAGTGTAGAACATTGAGTAAGATACAGTAGGAGTCACATTATATTGACATTGTCCTTTGTGTATGTTATATTAGTACTTTGGCTTGGAATTAAATTATATAACTTGAATGTGTTGGATCTTCGTGAACTGCAACAACTAGTTCCTGATATTGGTGACCGTCATGGTTTTAATTGTTTTTCTAATGATTTTACAAATAAAATCATGACCC